CGTTCTCAAGCTAGTCTAGTAGCAAATCGTCTCATTCTGGAAGTCCAAACGCATCTGGTCGGAACGAGGTTCAAGGGTAATAAAAAACCTGAGGGGTGATTCAGTCGGAACACATGAGTCCAGTAGTGGTAGTGGGCCGAGTTATGCAGTCCTGGACACTGTTTGTGTGTGGTTAGTGCGTGCGAGTTTGTCCGAATGCACTAACAGTTTTAAGCTATGAGCATGTAAGTAATCGATGTGCATCAGTTGACCTGGCTGATTTTTACGATTAGGCAAAGCCCGTCAGAACACGTCCAATGACCCTCTTCTATAAAATCGTACACCATGTTGGTCCAGATAAATGGAGTGGCGTTAACGATGGAGTTTCGCCTTGTTTCGGGTTTTCTTGTTCATTGACCAGTCGAATTTAGGGACTAATTTCCAACTAAGTCCATTGGAAAATATGGCCGGATCCTGGACCGCGGGAAGCGCTGGTGAAGCAAGCAAGAATGGCAAAACAACTGTCTGGTCACCCGACATCTGGGCGAAGGTTCCGGCCAGAATAGGCCAGGCAATGTTGTTGGGAGAACTAATTTGGCTTAATGTCGTTTTTGAAAACACTACATCGGTTTTGTGATTAGGGGGTTCACGAAAGACCTAAGTCGTTGCAACTCAAATCACATTTGCTCCCACCACGATGGCTTCAGTGCAGCTTCATCTGTATGCTCAAATTCACGCTGGTTCATCTCAACACATAACACACGAGATTTCGCGTCATGGTATACAACAGTACTTCAATACGACGCCGTAAATGAGGATTAATTAAGGGAGTGAAATCAATTTCCCTTTAATTTGTAGAATCCATGTGGCTACTGTTGTAGCTATAATCCCTGCTACTACTAGTTAGGTTAGCCGTAAAAGCCCGTAGCATACTTAGACCAGGTGGAAACCTGTCTGGCAGAGGGACTGTCAAACCGTAAAGGTTTCACCACGACAAAACCTGACACTGATGAATACATTCGTGCAATTGAGAAAATGAATTTTTTTGAAACGGTGAAAGCGCTCCCCGAGATTGCTCAGCTGACTGGGGTTTGTCATACTCGAATAAGATAATAAACAAAGTTTCGGGGGATCGGTAGAAAATTTTCGAATTCTGCCTAAAAGATTGCACAAAGTCAACTGTCAAATAATGATGAGAAGAATGTCGTACACCCCCACACAAAACTGAATTTTTCGCTATCGACTGTATAAATTAAAGACTATAGTTTGTTCATGCATCCATCCTCAAGAGAAAAGAACTTCCGCTGAGAGCATTTTGGCACAATCCAGGTGTACGGGTAAGCTACTGCACTGTGACGCTGTTTGGATGTCAAGAACATTTGAGCAAAATGAAATGTTGACCCACATTTCTCATAGATCAAGGTCTGAGGAACTAGTGATTTTATGGCTAGATGAGATGTTTTTGTCAAACCAAAAAAACTTGCAGCCAGGCTATGACAGCATTGGCGTAACCACAATAAAATATTCCTTCGCCCCTTGAATAGAACTAGAACTAGAATTCTAGACTAGCTTGATTGTATGAGTATACCACTGCCTTTCATGGGCGTGACTTCATTTCTTCACCAACAGAACAAAAAGCACCTTCAAACGCTTACGATAGTTGAAATATGGATCAGTGCTACAGGCGGTAGACTTTTACGTTAAGCATCACAGTCCTCAGATTATTCATTTGCAACATTTTGTCGTACATCGCTACCAAACAAACACTTTCGTCCCTAAATATTAGTTCAAACTATCGGGCTGGCACAAAAACGTCCAGGGAGTAGGCTCATGCGGAAAGTACACAGGTATATTCTGTTGATGCACCAGTATGATTTTTACACACTCCTTCGACTGTCGCTGAACTCGTCCCAAAACCCAGTCAACTAGGTTCAGAGGATGCATCGCCTTTTCAGGAGGTATGCCCGTTACCGAAAAACAATTTAGTGTCACTCAAAAGCACTTCCTTTCAGATGGAGTGTCATATTTACAACTGATGTCAAATCGATAGAACAGCTTAGAATAATAGAAAGTTTGACAACCTTAATCAGGTGAATTATTTGAGGGAGGATTCTCATGTTATTTTGTGTGACTTAATTGTTCCGAAATTTGCGGACCGTCCTCATTCAGTCTGTGAAATTTCCAACAAATGACAGTGACTACATTGCAGAAACATACCTTTTGATTTGATCGGTGCAGCTGGCAGATTCAATGGAAAATACAATATATTATTCATACACAGTGCAATCTTCTATGATTCAACATGTGAGAGGTCCTAAATAGATCTGTGTAACTCACCTAAGCAGTCTGGTGGCGAGATGGCCAGAAACAGCAGCACCGCAAGAATTTTTACGAGCATTTTTGTGGATGTATGCCGGGGATATACAGCTTGAAACTGCTTATATAGCCTCTCCCAAAAGTAGGTGTAAAACGGGTACAACTGTTGTATGTGAGTTGGAGCAAAACTGCAAAGAGCCGACTTGTGACTCACGAAATTCATGTAAGGCAAGTGTGAACGGACTGTGCTGGAAAAAAACCACCCACCGCTGAATTAGCATGTTAAGGAGGTTGAAATTAATATGATTGAATTTGAGTACCTTGTTTTACCTGTATGATGGATGACATCCCATTGGTACTCCGCAATCGGTGCGGTAGAATTATGGGCAAAAATTAGGCAGCTCTGCTGCAGACTTAATTACTTGAACCCGCGCGTATACATGTGTACGTGAAAATCATATAGAAAAACTGCACAGTCCGTCATTCAGTACTAAAGTTAACTGCCTCTTAATTGACACATTTAATGTGGACTGACCTCACCCAGTAGTTGGCAGCAGTGGTTTGCAAAGTATTTATATTGTTCTTCTTGTCAAAACAAACAATTTCCCCATTTATCAGAGGGCTAGTTGTGACCTTTGTGAGCTCTTGTGCTGACTTTGTGAGCGGTATTGCCTGAATGTTAAACGATGGGTTATTCATTTACGAGTGCCCGATTCACCCTTTGTGATGGCAGTTGAAGTAACCGCATATTGCCAGTTCTGCCGCATGACCTCGTGAAGGCAAACAAACAACATTTCAAGATGGGACAAGTTTAAGTCTTGAATGAGTATGCAGTGTTACAGTTAACCACTAACACGTATGAAGCTCAAAGGTCGGATGTGCTGATTAGCCTTGCCACGCCAGCTGATCCGGTCTGAAGTGATAAAATAACAGTAGTGATAATTGATTCCAAACAGAGGTGTGTTCGTGGTAGCGGGTGAAAGGTCCAAGAAGTTATTTTTTCAGTGACTTTTCCACCACAAATATTTTCCATGGACGCCGGAATCACCTGCGAAGAGCTAGATAGCTGTTTTCCATGTTGGAGAAAATAAACCTGAATCTCATACAATAGCTGAACAATCAAACATTCCACTGAGGAAGGATAATTGTCCTTGGGCGGATTGCGTTTGGCCATGACATGGCGAATGGTTGGCGATTCGCACCAGTGGATAATGTGAAAATATCGCTTTCCCGATAAAGCCTACCAACTGACTCCAACCTTTGTCGTCGACTTGTTTTTTTTTGATGACTAAATTTTGTGCAATCTATTCATCATCATGTTGAAGCCTCCTTTATAACATATCACAGGCCGCTGAAATGCAGACTGTCGTATGTTAAACTAGAAACGAAACGATAGGGAAAGAAATGACAGTCGCCCATTTATCAACATAACATCTTGAACAAAGTCTTCCAGTAATGTCTATATGTGATTGATCACCAGGAAAGACACAGGGTCTCAGAGAAATAACGGTGTTAGTGGTAGAAATCGTGGGAATTAGTTATGCTGCATTTGTGTGATACACTAGAACACACAATCAAGTGGTTGAGCACTACCCTGTTGTTCATGTACCACAATTCGAATTTGACATAATGGTTCCACTTCCCAGAGCAGTTTCAAGATACCGGTCAAAGATGGTTCCATTTCAAAGCTTCTTTTACGCGGAGTGGGAACACTTGCTGTTTGCAAACGGTGGGACTCAAGTCAGTATCATTCCTGAGAATGCCAATATTCCAGGAGAAAGGACTGGATACTTCGGCAAAAGTTTTGCTGCAACATGTATCTTGCATTCGATGAATGATCAAACAGTTCTAATCGTCTACTCTCCAAACTCACCACTGCGTGCACGGAGCACGTGCACTTTCATTCGATCTCGGTTAAGATTTTGTGATTAGAAAATTGGCATTTTTTTCTCAGTGGATAATGAAGTACTGAGCATGACGAGGACCAAGTTTATCATTGTAGCCTTGAGCGCTTCAATTGAAACAGCAGCTGAACGTCCGTGATATTTATGCTACCTAGTCCACCAAAAACTTTATTTTCTTGTCGTTGGGGTTAAGCAAGTTGGTCAGTTGCGACTTGGTACGGTGCTACAAATGGATACAACGACGAAACACCTAAGCACAGAACAAATTTTAATCACTTAACGGCTACCTGAATTCTCGATGGTATCGGACAAAACGGTAGGCTTTTCAGCATGAAGCCTTCTGGGGAATTTCCTTCTAATGATACTTGACCGAGAATACGCGATGATAAAAAAGTCATGACTATGTTCCGGAATTATTATGCGTCCAACTCCAATCATTTGCGTTGACCGAACTACGCTAATTTTAATGAGGTACATCCCAGTGATTGATTTACACGACCCTAGCCCATACTGCTTTGCTTTGATTTCAAAAGACCAATATCAGTTTTGCACAAATACTGGTGTTACAAATGTTTGATCTTGAAACATTTAATTTCACCAAATAGCCCAGTGATGATACCAAGAAACAATGAGGCTAAAACCTTGATGCAGCATCGCAGAAAGCAGATAAAAGATAAGTTGCACCATACAAGTTCTTTGCGGTGAAACGGTAGGGAAATTGTCAGTAAAGCGATGATACGGTAGTCTGAATTTCGCGCTGCGTCCACTTGGTAGCTCAGCGGCATAAGTTCATCAATTTACCAAGGAGTCTACGTTCGGACTGGTCAGAAACTTCTAAACCTAAAAACAAATGAACGTGAAACAATTCCGAGTTAGCGTTATCATCATTAATATCGTTGTCGTCTTCAATAAATAGTAGGCGATCCCTGAGAGAAACGGATGTAGTGAAGTATCAACATCCTTTAGGTAATATCACTAACAATGGTCATTACTGACAACGATTGCAGGGTTTGAAGCAAAAACGATTTTTATGCAGAATCGGTGAAGTTACCTCGCGAAATTGAACAACGCGGACAGTTCAACTACGGTGTGCCAGTGTGTAGCGCGGGTGTGTAGTGCTTTGGTCTGCTAGGAAGTGGGTTGAAGTGTGGACCGGCATGGGTGAGCACTACGAATTCATTTCATCCTTTCGAATGGATTTCGCTGCCGTGGTGGAGTCGAAACTTACAGTGATGTGACGAGTGCTAGACCAGCTCTGACGAACCTGGCGGCTCTTACTGGGTTCAAAGTTGACAGAAAACGTGTTAATTGTCTGAATAAAGACATATTCTGACAGCCGGTCCCACATGAGTTATCAGTGCTGTCTGAGACCCGTGGATGTGGGACAATTTGAGGTTCCGAATCCTCTAAGGATCAGAATGAACACAAGAGACTTCGCGAACTTAGGGAAACGTGAGTTTATTTTTGAGTCATATCTTGGGTTAGGGGCGTGGATGCATTCAGTGTCCTTTGTCAAGTTTAGCTTCAGTAGTATTCGCTTATCTTAATCGTTGTCATTCGTTTCTGCTAGTGACTTGTATCTTGCAGTCCGTCGAACTAGAAATACCGAGCTTCTGCCCGGTTGTCAAGCAGAGGATGGCATTCATAGTTCTTAGAAAAGTTTTGGATTTTTCTACTTTGTTTAGTCTGTGTGATGTTCAAACCTGTCGTGGTCTTCTCCATTACTCTGTAGGCAAGGTGTTAAAGTTCAGACCGGTAGTAATATTATGTTTTCAAGGCACTAAAAATTGATTACACGGCCACTGAAAATTGCTGAACGCAAATCGTTTGCAAGAACGCTGTCACTTGAACGGGGGAAGATGCTGTTGGGACCGGACACAGTCATTTCTCTCTTTGAAGTGAGATGCTATCGACGAAGCATGTGTCCACTCTGATTGATGGCTGGCTCATACGCCAAAAACCACATGGTAGATATGGCTGGTGTCTAAGTGGTTAGTAAGGTTTAACCTTTGCTATCAGTAGATTTTCGGCAAAGGCTCAGAAAAGACAGCTGCCGCTTTATAATGGACACCGTTCTCATCTCGACGTTTTTCCAAAAGGGGTGCTCCAGTGTGACACGAACTAAGAAATTACAAAACTTCATTGATTTATGGTTATTTGGTCATGAAAGAGCGAAACATTAGTTTTTTCACTGTTATAAATTCAAGTGTTTGATAGAGGGCTTGCGGAATTTAGCTACCTTGGACAAAGCTCTTTGGATAAATGAGAATGAAACTATGTAGGTGGGCAGCACCTAACAGTGCTTTGGAGGTGGGCGCATTCATGATATCGCTATTCTGACCCTCTCCTAGATATGAGTTTTTCCCCACCGATCTGCATATTTGTTGAATACCAGCGAATAACGATTAAGGATAACTCTGGGAATAGCGCAGTACCACCCATTTTATTCAACTCATGATCGCGCAACTACTGTTGATATTGGGGTTTAGTCATCTTTATATATATATATATATATATATATTAGTTGATGTGAAATCGGCGTGACCTGGTCTCACGACTCCAGAATATTTTCAGGTGGACTTCTACTTGAAAAGCCTCTGTGTGAATCCTTTTTTTATTTACATGGGTTTGGCCTGCACATCATGCGCTTAGAAGACATTGGAAGACCGATGTAGATTTGGCTGCACGATTTCAAACCATCATTAGGTAGTCATTGGAACGGCCTTGATCCTTAACCTAGTGACTGTGGTCATACAACGGTCGAATGTGTTGCTTTTAATGGGATAACATGTGATCGGTGTAGCACGTGATCTACCGAATTGTGCGAGTCTATCACACCCTCCACATGAGACTCACTTTGTCGGCTTCGGAAAAAATTTCATAATCTAAATTATTCCTGGTGTCTGCTTCTATAAGTCCAAGCAAATTTTAAACTACTAGTGAATGAAACCTTAAATTTCACGCCACTGGAAAGAGCTGTGAGAAGTCTAACACCTGTGCTCGAAACCTTCAGCTGATTTTTCTGATATCGGAGTCAGGCGTCTGCCTTCAAATTAGGTTAAAACAATATTCGTATGTGTATAAGAATTGGATGAAAACAGTACGTGGGATGACTCGGTTTCCCTCAGGATTAAGGCTAAGTGCATGCTCGGTTTCGTTGCCTGAATTCCTTGTGAACATCTGGACATAGTTTAATAATGATGGTTCAATAACTCATTTGAAGAAACACCCACTAACTCTACCCACATATCCGTCAGGAAGGAGTCTTACTACCTGGCAATCTGAATTGAGGATTTGTTGAAAAGTTGGCAGATTTTCCCCAACATCAGCGCTTAGAAGTTTGATTTGACTGTAATCTCGCTGCCTGAGACATTTTGAACGTCCTATTTCAGAAGCTTTTGGGGATGATCAAACCGATTTGCTAATCGGACGAGTTAATCGACTGGACATCTCTTTCTGGAGAACAGAGAGCCCCAGATTAACAGCATCATTCATACTATGGGGATACTGTTATTGGTCTCACAAACAATTTTCGTGCTCCGTTCTGTGTACCAGCTTGGCTCGCTACTCCCAACCTCATGAGGTTTGTCCATTATTCGGTATCTAGACCAGATGGGGTAGCAGGATTAGGTGACAATAGACGTAAAAGCATCCAGTGGGCTAAAACCAGTTCGTAGTAATTACCATCATCTTAACTTGTTGACTCATCTCTCAGTGGTCTTCGGATCACATCAGACACAGTAATCGAAGCAGTTCGCACTTTATCCCTAACACAATTTTGTGAGTCATTGTATCACATCCAGTACACTTGAGTTATAACTGGTTTGATAAAGAATATAAAAGCAAGCTTACAGAGTGCAGCCTCTGTGGTTCACTGCAAGAATGTTTGCCCAACTTCTTGCGGCGTTAGGGTTTCTGATCATTATTCCGCCAATCGTTCTGGGTAAGTACAATTGAGCTACTTGAGGGAGCCGCAACGTCATAACTCATTGCATTATTGGAAGTGAGTGTTCTGATTCTCACTCCACTTTCTTTATACTCACCAGGCGCGCCAGTCTTCTTAAGCGGTGAGTTGTTGGTCATATGAACTTATGTAGAATTTTTGAATAATTGTATTGGATCTTTATTTTAACAGAGGATACACACGATAGTATTAGTATTATAGACAGTAAAAACAACGGACTCAGGAGCAGCATGAAACGGGGTAACATGACTTGTCGTTTAACTGATTCGCACACTTTGCTGGTAACAATATTCGCAAGTCTGAAAGGGTTCAGTGAGTAGACGTTATCAAGTTGAGTCGCAAACATAATTACACAACGGAAAAATGAAACCCGCGCTGCAATTTTCCAAAGCATTTCCAAAATATTGGGTCCCTGTTTCAGTAGCAAGGTAAGAAGACAGGTCACGAGATGTCTGTACTTCATTTACTTTAGTCCGTTGCAGGTACGGAAGATAAAATATTTGTAAGATTGTCGCATGAAAACAGATAGAAAGAACAAACGACAGTGGGATGTGAGGTCCATTTCAGGGCAGAAGCGATAACCTGATCAATGATGTGTGCACACATCAAGCCGGACATTTGTCCCGCTCACCATTGTTCCACTACACATTAGACCATTCTGCAAGAGGTTCGACGGCAATATTTTCTATCAGCCACGAATTCTTGTGCAATTTCCCCAATCGGTGTCACTCAGTGGAAGACCTGGAGGCTTGCCATCAGACGGCAACTATGTCAATGATCACCTTTCACAAACACAAGCTAAATACACTCGCAGTCATAGTTTAGCGACTATACTGACCTTTTGTGCTGGTCATCCTTAGAACACAGGGAAATCCGGGGGCTGCGCCTATTTGATGAGCCCCAATAAGAGTGAAACCAGTTGTGGGCTGCGAAAAGTTTGTGAAACCAGTTGTGGGCTGTCGAAAAGTTTTCAGCGACCCTATGAGTAGTGCTTCCCGCCTATAAATGTATTGCAATATCTCGAATATTGTAGCACATGAGCATGAGGTCACCTGGTGCAACACATTCAGTCGCTTGAAAACATCATATACGAGGGATTTACCTGGGTTTCAGGTGAGTCTCGCGCAAAACCAAATTTGTTTACAAATGAGTGTATTCCTCTGTGATAGCGGACGTCTTCAGTTGGGTTAAAACGGTGACTGTGAGCGGGTCAGATCGCAGCTTTAGTTAAGCAACAAGGTAGTCTAGGGGTTTGTGTCCCGATATCGTCAGTTTGAATGGTCATGGATGCTGGATACAAAGAGTGGACGGAATGACTCAGAGTTGAAGTGTGTAAATCTGCGTGACGTATTTATTTTAGAATTTAACATTTATTTGTTGTCATCTTAAAGCAGTGTAATTAAACCAGTAATCAACCACACGGCCAACTCAGTTGCTAGATTTTCAACTTCAGAAAAATTAGATCGCTCAAAAGTTAGAATGCCTCTGTATTTCTCGGGAGCAATCATCGCGTGCTTTTTTACTATTAGGATGTACAAGCTGATAGTTTTTTTTGCTCTTGTTTTCTAGGTTGGTAGGCTGGATGACAATGGATGTCTTTGTACATGTGTAGATTCACAGCCACCCAGTGGCAAATTAGTATCGTATGTTCCCAAACTGAAACACGCTCCAGTTCAGATACATTCATCTGCAACTCATTTCGGTTTTCACCACAGCCCACGACTGGTTACGCTCTTCTCGGGGCTCATCAGATAGGCGCAGTCCCCGATTTTCAGTAAGCCTTATGTTCTACTTGAACCCAAATCGGACCGATTGCGACAAATCACTTTTGTTTTCATGAGAGATTCAAATGAGTCTCCCGCACCTAGTAGATGAGCCCCAAGAAGGGCGAAACCGATGTGGGCTGTCCAGGAGTTTTCAGTAACCTCGTGAGTAATTCCTATATGCCCCAGTTCAGTTTTAGCCAGTGTTTGACACAGGTTGGTCCTAGGTCTCGCCAAAATGGTCAGAAGCAACATGACCTTCAGTGAATGGGCACCGTTCAATCATAAGGGATGAATTTCAACCCTTATAGGAGCGCAGGGAAGAATATCACTCCATAAACCCTAGAATACATCAGTGTTAAGTAACTGATTTTGCTAAATCGGAGATAAATTTGGGAAGTATACTTGAATAAGAAGTGAGCCACTCATCAGCACCACGGACGCTTTACTTCTGTGCATCAGAATACTTCAGAAACACTTAGTGGTTCGACAACATCACCCTCACCATCACTTGCATAGGACTGGCCTAAATAGAACTCAGTCATGTCTTCACCAAAGAAGAAGCCCACAGTAACACCAATTAATTTTTCATGATTTCTTATAGATGAGCAAGCAAAGGACGGTGGAATTTGCTATGTCCAAGGTAATCTGAGAAATTTCGCTATATTTGCGGTTCGTTTCTCTACATATAAGCCGTTTTGATAGAAAACCTTTTCCCTCAACTACTGCTTTTGAACTCCACCATATTTTGGCAACTTTGTTATGACCGGATACTGCCTAAATTGAAATTTCACCATTTACTTCACTTCAGTCAGGTTGTCACATAAACTATATTGATTGTGTTACACTTAATCAAAGTTTTATACCTTTGGAACACCCTGATCATAGTTGAGCGGTAAAATCACACTGTTAGTCGGAAGATGAGCATTGTGCAATAAAATTTCGCCTTGATTATGTGGTCTCTGCTGGGGGTTGCTTCTTCTGGACTTGAGGTCACTCAGTGGTTGGACATGAAGTTGCTGACCGGAACTTCCGTGGTTGCGACCCAAATCCGGTGTCTGGACTCTCTTTCCGTTTAGTATGGAGCCATCCGACAATAGCTCAGCCCCTTTTTCCGATGGCACGGTAGATGAGCACAAGAACCGATCGGCTGAATGGTTTGTATTATACTCTATCGAAAAAAACACCTGAATAAATTGACCAAAGTTGAATCGAAATATGATTAAACTGGTTACTTTAAGGCAAATAGTCGACCATTGAGAAGGCACAGGTGAACTTCGCCGGTCTCGAACAAGTGTCGGTAACTTAGGGGCTCTTTCTTCTTTTGTACATAACCTAAAGCGCTCCTTGTTGTTGTTGGTTAGTGATCTTGCTCAACAAGGGAGAAATCTTGTTGTTTTTCGGAGAGTACTTTGTTATAATTATGAAATGAGTAAATTTATTCGCATTTTATGAGTAGCTACAACTTGATTATTAAACATGAACAGCCTTAAAAAGACATTCAACAACGCACTTTCTTTGGAAGGAGGGACGATAGCGTTCAAACTGGCCATAAGCTTGAGTTGACGACAGAAGCTGGAAACTAATAGCACCCGGAAAATATCTGGCGAAGAAACTGGCAACTGTCTGCAATAAAAGCTGACAGTTCACCTATTGATTTTTCTGGTTTTGCTCCTTTACCCAATAGTCGTTTCATCCTTGAATTCAGCAGTGGTCGGCAGCATGCGTCTGCTGTCTTTCCGTCAGACAACTCATATTTTTCAGTTAGTGGGAAGCAGTCCTACAAGAGATTTACACTATCATGGGCTGTCAATATGGGCTTACTCACAAAATGAAGATCACTTTCTTCGCCGAGAAATGTACATCTTCAAAGGCAGATATAACCGACCGTCTTCAGTAAAATATATTGTGTGCTTGCCCCATTATGGATACCCGCGAAGATGTGCACTAGCCTAACCTCCAAATCAGTTTTAGAAGGTGATCTTCAAAGTCAGATGATACTTTCTAACTGTGTTATTAAACTATAACACCAGGCGAGAAAATAAGGTGACAATTAATGTCTCTACATATAAGCTAAAAGAGAGAATCACCCGTTTCGCAATGTCAGGAACTCATTGATAAGCTGCATTTGATATATGAGACTAGATCACTTGGCCCAATGTGTAGCTTTGTAGCTTGAAGTTGCAAACCAGAGGTGATGTTCCGATGTGGTTGGAACCGAATCATGACGAATTTGCTAGTGCCCATCTTCCGGTATGTACCACAATCAATTTGGAATCACCTGAAACCTTTGACTATTAGTGGTCATTCACCACACCCATTAAAGTTTTGTCCTGATGGTGAATAATTGTTCGTATGGGAGAAGTGTAAACTAGTTCAGCTATCGTCGCGGAAGTTGTATTGATACGTGTTGTGGAATTCTTCCTTCTGTTAATCAAAGAACTTTTCTTTACACTTCAGGAGTATATTTCCGTCAACCTGTGGAAGAAAATACCAATGAAGAGGATGTGGACACAGGTGGGTTGTTAACCGCGTTGAGGTTGACAAATTTGATTTGACATTTGTAAGAGTTGTTTTCCTCCGCTAGAAAAGGTTGTCTTTATGTCGGCATTATCAAATTTTTGTACAGTGGCATTACTTCGGGTGTACAGCAGAGAGTAGCAAGAGTTGACTTGTACATGGCGAATGCAAAAACTTACAAGCAAGATTATCTGCATAACTGCACTTAAACGGTACAGGAGGCAACTGAGAATCATACTAAACCACGTGATTTATTTGGTTGGAAGTGAACCATTAAGTTTGGGTAAAGGTTAGAAAACAAGCGGTTTTTAATGAAGACATTTAAAGTCTATCATTCTTCAGGTCACTTATATAAAACCTCAATGCTGATTCCCAGCATTCTCATTGCACGTTATAGACCTCTATCACTCGTAGGATTAACCCCACTATTCTAATGGCAATCTACTGGAGGAAAACCTTGCCATTCGATATTGCCACTGAGCGATGCATGCTTCCGACAAGAAGCACAAGTTTGTTGATGTCAGTAGACTGGAATATTGATATCGATGTCGACTGTATTCAAAAATCCATCATATGTACCCATCCGTATATAGATGCGGCAACATATATATATATATATATATATATATATAATGCATTTATATATATGGTTGGCAATAAACCAGGAATGAACGAGGAAGTGCTGGTTTTTTATACGATATACGTAAAAGATCTAAAAGAAATTCAAAATGTATTAAAGGTCGCACTTTCTTTGCGACTAAATTAATTGTTAGACTGCTTCGGTCTTTCCCACCACGGATCACATGGTTAACGTGTTTTGTGACAGTTTGTCAGCCCAGCAGAAGGTGATTGCGGAGCCCCGATAGAGCTAGTCAAACGGATAGACCTCGCCTTTCGTGAAGGACCATAGTAAGTGGAGCCATAAGTGAAAATGCGAACCTTTCATTTCTTAGTTGTCCCATAGCAAGTCAGTAAATTTAGTTTGCTGTGCTCACATCAAAATGATCAGCTCATCCGTTTGATTCATTCAGTGCACCTGTGGAAGATGGGCATCCCATATGGAACAGGACAAACAACGCTCTGAAAAGTTACGTGATAACAGGATTTTTTTAGTTCCCCTTACATTAAACGGCATTCGAAATAGAGGAGCATGTGCACAAAATTCACCGAGAGCCTTATCAAGCATGAACAAAAGGCAAAATCTCTGGAGGTATTTGATTTTGAAAGACATTAAGCAGCAACGCTCAGCAATGTGGCGCAACGCTGAGGAATCGTTCAGCTGTATTGGCCAAATTTTTAATGTTTTCCACAGCTATGTATGCATATGGATGTATGTATGCTCGAAATAGTGATGAGGAAGATGAAAAATCAGTGGTTCAACTAAATGTCCATCACTCCTGCGTACAGATTATTTGAGTGGCAAAACAGGCAGTGACAATATGACACAGTTTGTCAGGGGGTGGAAGACAGTTTAGGTCTAGCAGCTCAGAGACTGAAATTTCTTGGATGTAGACTGAGTGCGAATAACTGAACTGAAATTGCTAAATTTTCAAAAGTGACCTGTATTTGTCTGAAAACCTAAGGATGTCGTAAACGCCTCAGTATGCCATAAGAACCCAAACTAATGATATGCTATATCATAAATTCAAAATCTTACGTTCTACTTAAGCATAATGAAGTGCAAAAGGTTAATTGTTGTTCTATCTGGTGGACAACTCTCGAACGCAGTAGCAATGGATGGAAGTTTTTCTCAAGCTCGATTTCCTCGTTTTGCTAATGAAGGATACGCGTTTGCCACTCATGTACTGCTCAGAACGCGCACCAGGAAAATCTTAAACGTAACCATATCAGAGAGGATTATTTACTGCACTCTAAGTTAAAGAATTATCTGAAAGGATCGAAAGGAAACCACAAACCACAAACATCTTGGTCCCCTTGGTCGACGCACATCAAACCATTGGGGGTTGTTGGAAGTTCTGATGAGCTAAATCAGTATTGATGCGACGTAAACGACAGGAGTTCCGGTTAGTGAACTTCCACTTGGGAGCTGAGGATTCCAGTCTCACCAATGTGGTAGACTATCAGTGGTGAAATGAATTCATATGAAGCAAGCCACAAACTCCCTGCCAACTTCGGTGTAACCCAATACTAATGACAAATATCACCGATGTAGTTCTTTATAGGAAACAGAATTTCAGATGCACGAAATTTCGACCAGTACTGGGAACCGACAACTCAACGCGAAGAACTATTGATAGCAGGACACAACCAAAGCAAAGTGACACCACACATATCAACGTGTCCGGTCAAATTAATGTTTACCTGAGTTTTTATCCAAAGACTGGTCATCTAAATCCAAAATAGCGGAGATTTGATGGGATCGGCATTATTTCATGAAAAAATAACAAGTAAGAAGCCGAACATTGCTAAATTGACAGCTAGCGCAGAAAAAAATATGCGGATAAAAATAATCCCATTTTAATTTCTTACCCAGCTACAAAGCAAGACGCCGAGCACGAGATACCAGATCAGCGATCCTGGGAAATGTATCAAGATAATAAAGAAATAAACGCCAGGGAAAATGATGCAGAAAATCTGGACCAAGCATTCGAGAATCAGGTGAAGCAGATTACGGCAGACCAGGAATCCGACGAAACCACACGGAATCGCCTGTCATCGACATTGGTAGATGAAATTCTAGATCAGCCGGAGGACAGTAGTGCTGCAAGCCTCGAACAATTATCCGACGATTTGGTGGAGCAGATTATGGCAGGCCAGGATTCCGACGAATCCACACGGAATCGCCTGTCATCGACATTGGTAGATGAAATTCTAGATCAGCCGGAGGACAGTAGTGCTGCAAGCCTCGAACAATTATCCGACGATTTGGTGGAGCAGATTATGGCAGGCCAGGATTCCGACGAATCCACACGGAATCGCCTGTCATCGACATTGGTAGATGAAATTCTAGATCAGCCGGAGGACAGTAGTGCTGCAAGCCTCGAACAATTATCCGACGATTTGGTGGAGCAGATTATGGCAGGCCAGGATTCCGACGAATCCACACGGAATCGCCTGTCATCGACATTGGTAGATGAAATTCTAGATCAGCCGGAGGACAGTAGTGCTGCAAGCCTCGAACAATTATCCGACGATTTGGTGGAGCAGATTATGGCAGGCCAGGATTCCGACGAATCCACACGGAATCGCCTGTCATCGACATTGGTAGATGAAATTCTAGATCAGCCGGAGGACAGTAGTGCTGCAAGCCTCGAACAATTATCCGACGATTTGGTGGAGCAGATTATGGCAGGCCAGGATTCCGACGAATCCACACGGAATCGCCTGTCATCGACATTGGTAGATGAAATTCTAGATCAGCCGGAGGACAGTAGTGCTGCAAGCCTCGAACAATTATCCGACGATTTGGTGGAGCAGATTATGGCAGGCCAGGATTCCGACGAATCCACACGGAATCGCCTGTCATCGACATTGGTAGATGAAATTCTAGATCAGCCGGAGGACAGTAGTGCTGCAAGCCTCGAACAATTATCCGACGATTTGGTGGAGCAGATTATGGCAGGCCAGGATTCCGACGAATCCACACGGAATCGCCTGTCATCGACATTGGTAGATGAAATTCTAGATCAGCCGGAGGACAGTAGTGCTGCAAGCCTCGAACAATTATCCGACGATTTGGTGGAGCAGATTATGGCAGGCCAGGATTCCGACGAATCCACACGGAATCGCCTGTCATCGACATTGGTAGATGAAATTCTAGATCAGCCGGAGGACAGTAGTGCTGCAAGCCTCGAACAATTATCCGACGATTTGGTGGAGCAGATTATGGCAGGCCAGGATTCCGACGAATCCACACGGAATCGCCTGTCATCGACATTGGTAGATGAAATTCTAGATCAGCCGGAGGACAGTAGTGCTGCAAGCCTCGAACAATTATCCGACGATTTGGTGGAGCAGATTATGGCAGGCCAGGATTCCGACGAATCCACACGGAATCGCCTGTCATCGACATTGGTAGATGAAATTCTAGATCAGCCGGAGGACAGTAGTGCTGCAAGCCTCGAACAATTATCCGACGATTTGGTGGAGCAGATTATGGCAGGCCAGGATTCCGACGAATCCACACGGAATCGCCTGTCATCGACATTGGTAGATGAAATTCTAGATCAGCCGGAGGACAGTAGTGCTGCAAGCCTCGAACAATTATCCGACGATTTGGTGGAGCAGATTATGGCAGGCCAGGATTCCGACGAATCCACACGGAATCGCCTGTCATCGACATTGGTAGATGAAATTCTAGATCAGCCGGAGGACAGTAGTGCTGCAAGCCTCGAACAATTATCCGACGATTTGGTGGAGCAGATTATGGCAGGCCAGGATTCCGACGAATCCACACGGAATCGCCTGTCATCGACATTGGTAGATGAAATTCTAGATCAGCCGGAGGACAGTAGTGCTGCAAGCCTCGAACAATTATCCGACGATTTGGTGGAGCAGATTATGGCAGGCCAGGATTCCGACGAATCCACACGGAATCGCCTGTCATCGACATTGGTAGATGAAATTCTAGATCAGCCGGAGGACAGTAGTGCTGCAAGCCTCGAACAATTATCCGACGATTTGGTGGAGCAGATTATGGCAGGCCAGGATTCCGACGAATCCACACGGAATCGCCTGTCATCGACATTGGTAGATGAAATTCTAGATCAGCCGGAGGACAGTAGTGCTGCAAGCCTCGAACAATTATCCGACGATTTGGTGGAGCAGATTATGGCAGGCCAGGATTCCGACGAATCCACACGGAATCGCCTGTCATCGACATTGGTAGATGAAATTCTAGATCAGCCGGAGGACAGTAGTGCTGCAAGCCTCGAACAATTATCCGACGATTTGGTGGAGCAGATTATGGCAGGCCAGGATTCCGACGAATCCACACGGAATCGCCTGTCATCGACATTGGTAGATGAAATTCTAGATCAGCCGGAGGACAGTAGTGCTGCAAGCCTCGAACAATTATCCGACGATTTGGTGGAGCAGATTATGGCAGGCCAGGATTCCGACGAATCCACACGGAATCGCCTGTCATCGACATTGGTAGATGAAATTCTAGATCAGCCGGAGGACAGTAGTGCTGCAAGCCTCGAACAATTATCCGACGATTTGGTGGAGCAGATTATGGCAGGCCAGGATTCCGACGAATCCACACGGAATCGCCTGTCATCGACATTGGTAGATGAAATTCTAGATCAGCCGGAGGACAGTAGTGCTGCAAGCCTCGAACAATTATCCGACGATTTGGTGGAGCAGATTATGGCAGGCCAGGATTCCGACGAATCCACACGGAATCGCCTGTCATCGACATTGGTAGATGAAATTCTAGATCAGCCGGAGGACAGTAGTGCTGCAAGCCTCGAACAATTATCCGACGATTTGGTGGAGCAGATTATGGCAGGCCAGGATTCCGACGAATCCACACGGAATCGCCTGTCATCGACATTGGTAGATGAAATTCTAGATCAGCCGGAGGACAGTAGTGCTGCAAGCCTCGAACAATTATCCGGGGATCTGGTGAAGAATATTTTGGCAGATCACAAATCCGACGAATCCACAGTGAATCTGCTGTCGTCGCGATTGGATGATGAATCTCTTCAGCAGCCGGATGACGTTGTTTCTGCTAATCTGGACATTTCACCCCAGATGCTGCTGGGGACGAATTCGCGAGCGCCGGAATCCGACCAGCCCACACTCAATGGCATGTCAACGCGTTTCGCAGATGAAACTTTCATTGTGCCGCAGGAGAACTTTGCTGCAAACCTCGACCGAGTATCCGGGGATCTGGTGGAGCAGATTTTGGCAGACCATGAATCCGACGAATACACAGTGAATCGCCCGTCATCGCAACTGGTATATCCTATTCCAAGTCCGAAGGAAGTCAATGTTGCCACAGATGTTGACCATGTTTCCTTGACACCTGGTTACCTTTCGTTAAGCAATTCAATCTCCCCTGAATCGTCTGCAAATTCGGTAAATGCTGGCGTGGAGGCGAATTCTAATTCTCCCGTCGGAGATTCTTTGGGCTTGGGAAACGTTGGGGATATTCCTAATGAGTGGAAGCCACATCAGCTCGGAGTACCGACTGAAGTTTCGGAATCACTGGCGAGTACCCAGGCGGTTGATGGATTAAAATTGGCTACTCCTTCTTCACAGGAGACGGCGTCTGAAATGCAACAACTGGAAAAACCCCCTACAGTCCAACAACAGAGGGAGCAAAATTTGGTTCAAAATTCTAAGCGTGTTGTGCTAAGTGGAAATGATGAACGTGAGTCTCTATTTTCTAGCCTTATGAACGTTCAAAATGAAGTATGATCTCACTGTATTGTACTGTATGCTGAAATTATATGCCTGTAAACTCGGTTTATAATTTTACTGTAAGACAAACACAATCTCAGTTTAACTTTTTAAATTTTCTCATTGTCCGTGTGACCATTTGCACATCACACTGAAGTGAACAGACACCATTTGGAAGGAGAGGACCTTAGTATAGCAACTTATAAACGAGTTTTCGATGCACACATTTTAACTACGTAATGTTCGATACAAGACAATGAAACTAGACGTTCTCTAACACGCATCCATTTTACCAGTGCATCACTCGTGGTTGATGCTATCTGATTTTCCGTAGGCTTCAAATCCTGTACACTACCATGGATACGAAATCTACACTGTTCACGCTTTCCATGGACGCATATCATCATCATTATTATTTTTTAGTAAAAATAAAGTGGTTTCAAGCGGGATGTGGTATAGACCGTCTGCAAGTACACGGGCTTACGTCTTGTGTGTATAGGTATGACCATAAATCTTGACAACACCACTTCGTCATCAACTGCATATTTCAACTTTTGTCTGCAGAGTTGCAAAAGATGGTGAGCAGCGCTCGCAAACGCAAGGGTGAGTCGCCAAAATTTGTCGCCCATGGATATGAACGTATTTTCAACTGGTGCTTCCTAGTTCATTCTATATGTTCAATTTCCCCACCCTATGCTGGGGTTTACTAGTCTCCAGTTAATTTTGTTGATGGTGGTTTTGAGAACATTTATTTTTTTCAAAATGAAAAATTTCCTCTCCGAAGATTACCCTGAAATAGTTCCCTGTTGCTGAAAATCAGGCGAACAAGTAGCCAGTGAATCAGAAGCACCATTGTAACGGGGTGCACACCTGCTCAGGTAGTGGTTGATTTTCTAAGATAATGCACAGTCGTTACAGTTGGTTTTCGTCTTAATTGCATCATAATTTATTAGCGGGTACGCTAATCCGGGTGAACAACAAATGAGGCGACAAATCGAAGCGATGCGTTATTTGTGTTAATAGTTACGCCGTAACATTATATTATTACATGATGTCATACATATTATATTACACATATTACATAGATTGTATTTATACCTCAGTTTTCTGGAATAGGTCCTGGCAACACGACCTTATGCAATAATGTATGTCTGACTAACGCACGCAACAAAATGACACAACTATGTAACGTGCGTAGTTGTTCCACAAGGAGGATGGATGATTACAGTCATTTTTGATTCATTTAACTCGGATGTATGTTCTGAGTCGGTCTTCTATCTCGGTTGTCATGGTAGAGATAAGACGAATATCGCGATTTGTTAACATCCCTTCTACCGCCATCATGAGCGGATGTGAATTATGTAAGACGAATTGCGCCAACTATTCGGGCAAGTGAGAACCATGTTAAAAATTTTCTTATTCGAATGAGTCTCGTATGCTGGTAATCGTATTTGGTTAGTCTTTACGGAGTAGGCCGCTTAAAACTCTGTGCCTGTCCATCAAAAACATGTCCTTAATGCATATCGTCGGTTGTTGGGGCTAAGGAGATCTTACAATAGGTCAGACTAGATAACCAATCTGGTGGTTGGGTATTCAATGCATGGCTCTACCTGATATATTGGTGATGGATCTTAGAGTAGCCAATGAGAATGTTCACTCAGAAACAGGTGTTTTGACTCAATTGGATCACGTCCTAAAATGACAAAGTGACGTGAGGGTTACAGGGATATTTTGAACGTTTATTTTCCATAAATCCAAGAAAGCTTGAAACAGTTCAATTTCGATGATAGTGAACGCGTTTCAATCGGACAGATTAACTTGACCATCAAACTATCAAATGAACTGGTGACATTTCCTGACACCGAGAATGCTGTCTTATTTCGACCGCAAGTAATTTGAGACCACGTTGACTACACAGCTGAGCTATGGAACGAGCATTCTTACGCCACCCTGATAATTTTCGATCCACGTCCACACAGAATTTTATCGAAATAAGCGCAGTACAGGTGCCATTTATTATTATATAAAAAACAAAGTCAAAATATAAAATTCCTGTTAGTAGAGCTATACCAAGATTTGGTGAGCCATATCCTAGTTACGATGCCCTCAAAAAGCCTTCATAGCCTAAAGAACACAAAAAATGAATTTGGTTTGCAGCATCACGTAAACACCTTTGTTTATTATAAGATTCCACAATGTGTAATTTTTGAGCTCTTTATATGTCACCGATCATCGTTAAGTCAACTTTAGAAGAAATTGCTGTCCCGTCTATTGAACGGGTATCCAAGTGGTCCACAGATCAAGTTACTCATCGAGGGAATTCGTATAGTTGGAAGGGCAGAAGGACGTGAGTGATGAGTGATGCCGTGGACAACCGCTATAAGTCAGTGGTGTCAGAGTGGATGCCGTTTCTAATGGGAGGCAAAATTAGCTCAGAAATCATACAGGCATGAATATCAGCAACGCAGCATACCGAAGGTCTGCTGGATATCTCGCGGAGGCCAAATAAAACCAGTCAATATAGACGCTAAGCGAATGGTAGAAATAGACATCTGAAGAAAGTGGTGGACCAGAACTCAGGATTTTAATCATACGTGGCCAGTTAACCTGGATTCAGGCGGAAAGCCTGATGTTCTCTCACAACCCGGCTGAATCAAAACAATAGATTGAAATGTGCTGAATGATTTCAGGCTCGCAACTTAGTCTTGTGAAATACCACAAACTTTTACAAGGCATTTGCGTGAACATTATAGATAGAAGAGTGTATTTACACATGGATATGAGAAAACGTTTCTGACAAGTAGACGAGGTATTCAAATTTTCCGTGAATTTTTTATAATGTATAACTCAGCAAACCCTTTCATCTTGTTTTCAGTGAAGAAGAAGAAGAGGTCCAAATTGGTTTCCTCCCATTAAGACCTGAAGCATGTGTTGACGAAAATATACATGTGGCGATTTCTCAACAAGGCTTCTTTTTTTGGTGTGCCAGGTTTCGCAATGCAGAATGATAAGGGATGATGTTTTGCAAAGTACATATATCAAAAATGTAAAATTCCGCTAGCTCAGTGTTATGCTTCTTTGCTTTCAGGCAGAAAATGTAAGACGCTGTGAGGCGGGAGGCAATTACAAGATGAAAGCATGGTTAGCTTCAAAACTAAAGTGTTTGATTACATATCTTGCTACTTAGATGACTTAATCTCAGTTTTCCCGGTTATTTATTGTTGCGCACCCTGAGTAAATTAGGGTCGTGCCTCTTCCTAAGCTTTTGACTTCCCGATGCAGCTTGAAAAAGGTTACGAGTAGTACTTTGATGCAACAAAAACGCCCGCGATAGGCCATCATGGCCAGTGGATTAAATTGGAACTGCAACCTACTGAACAAGCTTAATAGGCCTCGAACTAGTGACTGTAATACGGGGGTATGGTATGCTGTTGAGAAGAAACAATTTTACATTGGAGTATCCTTCGCCAATGTAATACAAAGAAACAACATAAACCAATATAGGGATGACACTCCATAGAAACACTATTTGATGGTTTGTTTTAATCACTCAAGCATGTAAACCTCCCAAATTCAGCCAAATATGTTCTTTGAAAAAGGCGAGAATGACCGCCTTTCCGTCCCATGAGAGTAATCCCAATTCATGTTATTTTGAAGCTTCCAAGCCTCTGCACTGCAACAGCCATCTATCTTTGTAGCGCTTTTGCAGACTGGGAACGGGTAAGCTCCAAAGCACCAAACAGGACACCGCTAGGATCGTGGATCCCAACCCGTTTCATAATATGCCACTATTCCCTAAACGACTTCTTCACAACAGTTGGGAACCAGTGCCAAGTGTTAGACATCAATGACCAGGGTGAATGTAATGTCTTGGTGTGAATTTTACTCTAGCGGAGGGACTACCCTTGTGAGAAAAGTAGTGATTCTGATTGTTTTAAAGATATGCCGGCTGCGGAAGAAAGCGTGCCTGTTCGTCTTGAGTATTTCCAAGAAACGCAGAAAAGCACCATAGCTTCCCTGCAGAACGAGTGTTGAGGTCCCGTAGTGAGTGAGTGACGCGTAGGTTTGACAATCCCGATTATCAAAGGGATGAATTGTGTTCGAAATTCTACTTCATCTACACACGATTAAGCAAGTTTGTACAACAAGCCTCATACAAATGAGGTCGAAGCGTCAGTAGGTGCAGAAATCTCTCACTGACTGGCACGGTGCGGTATCAAAGTCCGCACACCAAACAGCGGTGAGCGGAAAGTTGTCCCAGCAGTGCGTTGTTCAGAGGCCTTACGAGTAGTGTCATGTCGAGAAAGAACCTTGATGGTTCAGTACCGTTTCGGCTAGAGTATCGGACAGTACGTGTGCAACACGCTCACCAGGAGGTAGAATCGGTTTGGATACAGTCAAGCGTCCTGCTCCTAGAATCATCTTAATTGTTAGATGTGTGTACGCTCAATTCAGTGCTCAAGTGAATTCAACAATTCCTTCCACTTAAAAGTTGAGTGACTTATATTTACTGTTAGTCTACAGTTTTCGTCATCTTAAAATCGTTCCACCATGAGACCACTCAGCATGTGAATAAACAGACTTTTTCTGTCAAACAAACATCTATTCAACTCAAAGGATTCATGTGTGAGTCAGTTCAAACAATGCGTTTTAGATGCCAAGAGTTCCTTTACCCTCGAGTTGCTGATATGTATGATCCACTAGGTGGTTTCAAAGGAGTAGATACGTTGTTAGGAGAACTACGTGCTCTAGTAGAACAATAGTCACACACCCTTCTCAAATGTCCGGTTTTCAAACTCCGGCATAGCCAAGAATATCCGTAGCTAATGAGCTTCAGTAAAATTGAAATCCATGTCCAGTGCCTCCCTTCTTGGTGTGAACTCACCACAATCAGTGCAACGACAAAGTGTACTTATACACATAAGGAAGAGAAACTTCAATAGTCCATGTTCGTGACGCAGGTCTGTCAGTGACTGGCGCATCGCATTAACCAGGTCCGCACACCAAATAAAACGACG